GCCTGTAGCTTTTTTTAAAATCACTGCTCCAAGCAAGCAAATAATTAGTTCAATGAGATCATCAAGACCTGTCCTGGAATGAAAACCAGCAAGACAGAGGTCCTCTAGGACTCTGGTACCCAACCCTATTCCCAAAAGAACACTGCGCCTGTGAGATAGCATGTTAACTTATTTTTCAGTACTTTGGTCCTCAGTGTCACAAACACTCAAACACTTAATTCAAAGGTACTATAAAATACAGATCTTTGTGTAGCTTCTTTTTGTTTGTCATTTGGTCTAAACTGCTTTATGACAAACAGACATATGAGGGAATGACACTATACCACACACTCCTGAGTGGTTTTGATGACTGTGTTTATTTTCCTTCTGCAGTGGTACAATTGGCTACATGTCAGGCAACACACCTGAATGAGAGCAGTTTTGAAACACAAAAATTAGTACAGTATTGATACTAATTACAAATCCCATTTGACCTTTCAAGAGCTAAAAGTAAATTAACAAACATACCTCAAACAGAACACTGAAATCAATTACCCTGTGATTAAGACTTAAGCTACAGCAAAAACAAAACAGTAAACACAGTGTTCCTCCAGGACCAGGATTAAAAAATCACTGCTCTCGGACAAGCTTTAGGAACCTCCTTTTAATATATTTTCACATGTAAAACTTTGTAAACACTGTAAGATCCCCTGGATAAGAACATCTGCTAAGCAAATAATTAAATACAGCATTGCTTACATTTAAACTGATATTACATGCTTAAGGAACCATTGAACCCGAAGAAACCAAGGTGCTAAAAACCATTATAGAAAAGCAAGGTGAGACTCAAAGATAAAGAAGTGCAGCAATGGTAGAATAATATGAGGAGTTAGAGTTCAGTTGATTATATGGAGTGACCTTTTTGAGCTGATTGTTATTATGTGCTAAGTTCGGTGAAAGTTATTGATTAAGAAGAAACATAGAAGCTTTTAAACCTCTGGCTCCTGAAGGACACATTCACTCTCTGAAGCATGTGACTTAGCTAGAACAGCACCGGAACACTTAAATTGTCCCTGTGAAGGCAAAGAGCCCCATGACACATTAAAGGAAATTCAGGTCAAGATCCCAATGAATTATTGATACTTAGATCACTACAGACTGTGACAGGTGACCTTAGTACGATTTTTACTAGTTAGTGGATTAGTAAATGGCTCCTAGAACAGAAAGGAGCCGAGAAAGGTCAGAGAGCAATCTCTGAATATTGATGAGGACCTACTAAACCACTGTGCATTGAACCTACAGTACTTGGAGAACTTGTCATTAAGTAAACTCCCTCTGGTTCAGTTTTAATAATAGTCTACTGTTCACAAGATCTAAAGGTCATGGTTCACTTGGTCCTAACTCTATGGCAAACTAAAATTAAAGGTTGGACTCTTTTAAGTAAATAAGTACTGATCAACAAGGCTTCACCAAACAATTTCTAGAAAGCCCACCACAACCTAGAATGAACACATTGACAGACTGCAGGACTAACAGGATTTGCTTTCAAATGCTGACATTTAAAATATGATCTATGTACATCCAAATCCATTGTTTAGAGTTAGATTAGCACCTCCCTAAGCAGTTCATGTAACAGGTTTAGGTGCTGTGCTTACTTTTTGCAGAGGCAAGTAAACTGGTGGGATTCTCAGTTCTCTTCCTCACAAGATTGGATAGGAATGAACCTTGGAGATATCAATTCCATCCTCAAACAACATGACCTAGATAGCCACACTAAAACACCATGTATTTCAAGAAAACAATAATCCAGTTTTGAGCTTCCCTTTCGATGCTACCACTATTTTTGCAATACAAAAAATATTCAAGTGTTTTTGATATTCAGAACTTTTATTAGGGGCTTCTCATAGTCAGTAAATTTTTATTCAAAAGGTTCCTTCACTTTAGACACCCATGTAAGAAGATTTATATTGCAGATGTTGAAAAGGTACCAATGCTGCTTATTTTGTAGCTTTTAGATAATAAAGCTGCAGTGGAATATTTTAAAGCACACTCACTCACCAAAATGGAACACATTGGAACTTTATTATTATTTAGCTTATATATAACTCATTTAAAATTTACACAATCAGTTTTTTAAATAAATGGCTTTACATTTTCAGATTATTCCTACTAAACTGAGAGTAAAAGGTGTGTAACATTTGGAAGGTTGGATCCCGCTACTATGCAAAAAAATCATTTTAAAAAGCTTGGGAATATCAACTTTTGGGACCAACACTAAGGTTACAAGGTGTAACCTTACAAACCCTCACACACAATGTGGAATCAAAGGCAAACAAGGAACATGAATGACAGTCTGTGTGACAGAGAGATAAAAAGTATTATATTTCTAGTTTGTCTGACCATGCATAAATCCAGATGGACTTCACTGGTCATCCACATCTATTTGAAAAGAGGTACCCTTTACTGATACCTATTCCTTTTCAGAATCTTCATCTGAAACACAAAAGCTAGTGAAATAAATCCTGACCACCTGTCAGAATCATCGTCTATTGATTCAATAAACATCATAGACAGGTCGTGAGTTTTACAGAATCATAAAAAAAGCCTGTGAAACAATGGAAATAGCAAATATAAAAGGACTTCCTACTAAAATCACTTGTTGATTGTGGAATCAAGGTGTTTGAAACATAGGGATAGGAGTTAAATAACCATGTGTACCACAACAGCTATTTCATAAAAAAACTCTAGTAGATCACTTTAACCACTAACAAACTCAGGGTGTAAAGCTTTCTAGATTTGTATTAATGGAATTGTGTTGTTGTTCCGAGAGATATTGTAAAATATTTTTTAAAATATTCTTCCATGCACAAAAAGCATTTTAAAATAGCTCGGTAATATCACCTTTAGAGACCAACACTAAAGTTATAAGGTCAACCCTCACAGACAATGTAGATTCAAAGGCAAACAGATCATCAATGACAGTCTATGTGACAGAGGGATAAAAAGTATCATAAAAAAGATGGATTAAGTTACAGACCTGTCCTCTGCAACTCTTGAATTGATCTATCATACTACTTACATTTCTGCATCATGCGAAAGTTTTATTGATCAAGTATTGATCAAAACACAAAGCTATCTACCAGCAATATTTTTTTGTAATGGAGTCTTTTTTTTCCCTCTGGTGGTTTTATGTTGCTCTGTGTGTAAATCATATATCCATAAAACTCAATGTATTATAACATTTCTTAGTGATTAATAAACTTTTAATTATGGTACACAATGTATGATTATTTTTTATTGCAATAAGATAGATAAACTGATATTTGAGTAACATGATTAGAAGATTTAACTAGATTTTGTCATAGAAAATATACTGTTTGTTTTTTTCTGTTCTTAACAGAAACAAAAAAACTAGCTGAATTTGCAATTTTAGAATGTTTATTGCCATTTAAAAGTTTTGGGGGAAAATACCATTTTTACTTTTGTGCATTTTGCAATAGGAAGTAGATACTAATGTTTTTCAAAAATAAATATTTATTTGGAATAAATATTCCAAAACTCAGCACAAGGATTACAATTACACAGAATTCTAGACATCTAGCTACCTGCTGTAAGTACACATTTTAAAGCATACAAATGTTCTAAAAATATAATCCAAAGCACAATGCAAATGAAAAATGCTAATGAACTGGATGCTATAATTTGAAAATAACGGTAAGCACAACAAACTACATGTAATGAAGAGTTTATTTAATGATTTCTTCTAGAATTAAATCATGTCTTCAAACAACTACAGTATTTCAAAAAGCTGTTATTTTCACTTTATGCAGGTTTTGTCTTTCCTTCAGACACAGTTTACTTCCTGCAGTACAGGATGACGCTATAGAAAACAATAGTACACATTACACAAACTGAGCATTTTCCTGCTTACAGTTTGCTATTCAGATCCCTTTAGAGACCCTAAAGATAAGGAAACAAATTGCAAGCACAATAAACCAACTAGTACTTTATAATTAGCCTCCTCTAATGAGAATGGGGATGAGCCTGATTAATTGGAGCTGTTGCAGATGAACAAATTAACATTCCCTCCTTCATTTGAACTACGTTTCTAAATGTCAGCTGTATAATAAACAATTAATTTAAATGCCTTTTTTGTAGTTCCAGTAGCAAAGAGTTTTCTGCTATACCAGTGTACTTAGTGTCATATTTATAACACAGGGAATATGCACCAAAATCCCTTCTTCACAATGCACATGTGGAATAGATATCTTAGATACCCGAAAATGTGATATGATTAAAGAAACTTAAATTTAAGAAAAAAATATTTTGTGTGTGATAATTGAATACAGAATTAGTTTTTACAGAAAGATAATGCTGACAGCTTTTATGTTTTTCAGCTGTTGGAGTAAGCTACCAAAAGTCAGTAGTTCTACTAAATTATTTTTAGAAGACTGTAATCTGTAATATAGCATTCATGTGATTCTATCTTTTTGACATGTATACAAAGTATGCCTGATACGAAAATATGACAAAGACATCAGATCAGATTATTAGGTTAAGTGAATTAATGCCTTTCTTCTTGATTTGGAAGCTTGGTTATGATGCAATGTAACTGTGTCATTCAATATAACTGCAAAGAAAATAAATCCGTTAATTGTACTATATGGCATTAGCATATGCTCTCTAATTTTATTATTTATCATTTAATAAGCTAAAACAACCTTCCCAATAGGAGAAAATACAATTTTGACAGTACACTGCTGCATATCAACATAGATGCTTTATTTCATATTCTTGGACAATATTTAATATAAAGCACACTTAAAACTATGCAACACATATGTAATGGTGCAAAATAGCATTCAAAAATGTAGATTGCACACACTTTATAAAACATCCCTTGTAATTAAACCCCATCAACATCACTTCAGTTTGAGAATACCAGAGAGATAGCAATGCTGCATGGAATCCCATATGGCTTCTTAGGATCTCTAAATTCGCACAAGCCCCTGAAACCATACCTTTCTCTCGCCTCCTCTTCTGAAGGATCCTCAGAGGTTGCCTTTACATCCTCTTTCCCAAGTTTTCCATCTTCTTTCCTGTAATTTTCTGGCGAACCGATTTTGGGCAGTTCATCGTTCACCTGCAAGTGCTCGATGATGTTCTGCTGGTGCCATGACTGATTAGGAGGTCTGGCGTAGACTGGTATGGGTCCTGGAGTTGGTGCCAGAATGCTGTGCACTGGGCTTCCAGTCTTTCGAAGCCCGCTTCTGTCCCGAGAATGACTCTTTAACCTGTTCTGAACTGGTGTGCCCCGGTGCTCAAACCCCTCCTGCTGGATGTAGCTCCCACTGTTTGCCGAACTCTGTGAGGAATGACTAAACCACCTCCAGCGCAGTCTGAGGATCTGTTTCACATCAAACTCTTTCTTCCCCGACACTGACATGTTTTTTTTTTCTGAAGGCAATAAAAAAGGAGTCCAAAAAATAAAAAGAAGGCAAAGAGCCTCTCTCTCTTTTCCTGTTTCTCCTCTCTCTCTGTGCTGTTGGGAAAAGAACAGTCTCTGCTCTTTTGCCTATGCTGCTCTCGAACACAATTCTTCTGCCTCTCGCTCTCAGCTTCTCTCAGAGCTCAGCTAACACACATGCACAGCACACAGAGAAGCCTAAAGGAACAAGCAGTGCTCCTAGAGCTGTGTGCCTGTTTCCACTCTGCGATGATGCTGTGCTGCTTCTAACTGTGGAGGTGGGGGACCGTACTGACAGGATGATGAGGTCAGACCTTAAACAAGTAAATCAGCTTAGCAGAGGAAGGCGGCAACCAACAACCCTCTCCCCTTAGCAGCTGGGTCTTCCATATACTCTCTCCCCCACCTCTCTCTCAGTTCCTCTCTTGCGCACACATACACACATACGCGCATGCATACACGTATCTGTCTGCTTTCACAGATGTCCTAACAGTCCCAGGATTGACAGGATCCCATGGGATGTCGAGGCTGTTTCTCACAATGCAAGATAGCATGCAGAAAAATTATACACCCAATCCCTCCAATACCCTGGGGACCGTGTGACAACCAATGAATTAATAAACTTCAGAGAAGACAAGTATACACTGTCTGACATGTTTCCTTTTCTTTTAATTATCTCATTTAACATCAAGCCCCTTTTCAAAAACATATTGATGATTTTTAGGTCTTAATTGTTTTTTTTCTCCCGTTACAACACATAATCAGCCTCCTAAGTCCTTAAGTAAATGTGTATATACAAAAGATACAAAAGATAGTAAAGCTATCTTTTGTTTCATCACAGCAATTCAACCCTTAACAGTTAATTCAGCCCTTCACAATTACTGAGCATTGTTTCTGTTCAAAATGACAATAAATATATGCCTCAATATCAAACACCTCGTTTTACTTCTAGAATCTGCTTTTGACATGTTAAATGTTTAATTTTCATTGTGTAATGTGAGATAAGCATGTTGGGTTAAATACCTAATCTCATCTGTAAGTCTTGTTATGTTTTAATTACAAATATTTTTAAAAAAAAATTGGCTAAATGAAAGGCCACATTTTAAATTGTGTCTATTTCATGCAAATAGGAAGTATATACAGTAGGTATCAGAGGGCTAATTTGGTACACAGCCTTTGATATGATCATGGTATTCAATATTCGATTTTTCTCTCATACCTCACAACCAGAATAAGAAGCAAAAAACTTCCAAATATTTATTTTCATTATGTCACGTAGATGAACAAAGGAAGATACCAATTTGTTTTATCAAAAACGTGTAGAATTATGTTAAAATTCTTTTCAGAATTTCTGAAGTTTATAAGAAATACCTATAGCATTGAAATATATTTCACTATGATCAGCAAATTACTCATCCTAAATTTCTTTTGAGAGATGCAAGGGTGAAAGACAACTTTTGATAAAAGGCTTTTGGGCTGTATTCATGGAAGGGTATAAGCTTTCATGTTACATGAATCTGTGACAAATGTGAGCAAAGGCAAGGGGCAAAAATGAAGTGAAAGTCATCAAGGACAGTTCAATAAAGGCAACATGTGACATGGGTGAAGGAAACACAAGACCATTAAAAATTACTGACAAGCTGCTGATCATATCAAGTCGTATGGATGATCTATGCTGAAAGTTGCTCATAGCCCTTTCCATCTAAGCAAGCAGCTGCATAAATAAGGCTTGTTTTTCACACTTTGTGACTGGTTTGTATTAATGCCTTGCCTAAAGACAGGTTTATGCAAGGTCTGTAGATATGGCATGCTAATTTGGGGAAAATGTATGATGTGATCCAAATCAGCAGGCTCATTGATATTCTTCAGTGGCTAAAGTTACAGTACAGAGGCAGAAGCTGCACAGTGGGATAGTGTCAGAGCAAGTGATTATTCAGATAAGACTGTACTCTTTTGCAAAGAGCAATACCTGCAAAGAGATAAGACACCAGGCAGGGAATTGTGCTCTGCCGGAATCAGAATTACTAGTGAGAAAAGAATCCAATACACCTGGGGTGTGTGTGTCTTGTGGCTGTCAGCTATATGGAGCGTAAAGCTTCTCAAATATATTTATCAAGCAACAGTCTACAATGGAAATTGAGAAAAAGGAGTACATGAAAAGATAAAGAACACAAGACCAGCGGTTCAGTCTGCTGAATTAAAAGCTGCATAAGAAGGTAATGTTCCTTCCCTTTCTAGAGGCGTTCTGGGTTTTTGCACATTTTATACCCATAGGAAGACAGTTCTGTCTGAAATAACTTGATTTCATGCATAGCTACAGTATGAAGGGACACCCGTTTTTATCTGACTTAATCATCTGACTACATTTTTATGTTAAATCGTGTACTATATTGTCCTTAATCACTCAACATTTCTTTTCATTGACTGTGAAATATCACCAGAATTTTACAATGAATCACAGGCAGTTACAGTTTATGTGCAGTAGTTGCCTAAGGTTTTATGCCATGCAATCTATCAGCTTGTAGCATTTCCTACTTCGTCAATTTGAATCTGAAGAATTACACACACACCTAAATATTTAGTTATTGCAGCACAAGGACCAGCTAGAGAACCGTAATATTGATTTTTTTATTTGTTTAGTCTGAAGATAGTGTTGTTAGTTAAATGTCAATGACATGATAACCAAAACCATTTAAAATATCATTGTAAAAGAGGAATGTATTCAAAAGCTACCAGATTCTCAGTGGAGATATGTATGGAGTACATACTTACATGCAACCATGAGTAAAGAATGAGCAAAGTAAAATATAAAATTATTTTGTAGAAATATACTGTGACATGCTAGCCCCTTAGAACAGTTCCAAGGATATTCATAGCACCTACAGTAATTAATTCTTTGCTGGGCACCTCTTTTGGTCTTTTTTGGAAATATCTGCAGTAGCTACACATGTTATTCAAATCTGGCTTGAATGAGCCTATATTCCCCTCCAGCAATACAATGGGGTTAGATGTGGGATGGAGGGCCTTCAAATCAGAGTGTCCTCTATTAGTATTCCACCCATGCACAAAGTAACCAATTACTGTCTTTCCCAGTGGTAGACCTTTTGAGATGCAAAGTTCAGTCCTTATACTACCTTCATCTTCAGTGTTAAAATACAATATGAAAAAATAATGAGTTCTGGATACTTGATCCTCCAAACTCAGTAAGCTCAGCTCTATGTGATAATTTGTATAGATTCTACCAAACAATTGATACAAGTTGGACATAAATGCAAAGGGCTCACAACTAAATTTACAAGAAAACAGATGTGGTATCACAAAGGCATATTGTGTTATTTTGATTTATTTAATCATTAATAATGCTGTGGTAATTAGTTAACTTATGAGATCTCATAGATGGTGTACAGTACGTTGAGATGCTGTCACGACCACCAGGCAGTCAAGACCAACTCGTAAGCGAGCTAATCAGCCCCAGCAGCGGGTGATTATTAACAAACGCCGCCGCACGAGTTAAACCACCTGCGCACACTCACCGTGTGGTGCGCATAGCTATTTATACCATCTTCACCTGCTTCCCGCTGCTCGGTATTGAGTCTACTCCTTGGGAGCTCTACCTGGCGGTTTTCCCCGTACCTCGTTTATTCTGGATTTTGGATTCCCCTTCTGCCTTTTCGACTTTGCACCTCGCCTCTCGCCTCGGACTGTTTGCTACCAGAGATCTTCTTGGATTACGATTTGCCTTTCGTCTTTTGACTACGACCTTGCCTCTCATTTTGGTTTGTTCGCCTGCCTCATCTATTACCCGTGCCTGCGTCTGCACAGGATCCTTGTATCTTCCCACCAGGGATTCCCAACAGCCACAAACTTCTTATCAATCATGATAATGTATATTATGTATGCAGGAAATACAAGCTGTTTTCAAAAATGTTAAATGTTTATAACAATAATATATGGACTGGTTGTAACACTAGTCTATTATCATTTTGCCTCAATATTTATTGTTCTCCACCAAAACTTTCAATATGGTGCAGTCTCCAGTATAAAACATGTCATTACTGATATTAAGGTCAGTATTTTTTCTGTTTTGTCAAGACAAAAAAATATATATAATTCAAAGCCAGAAGTACAATAATTGACTTTAAATATATATACAGTATATCCATCCATTGTATCTAGTATGTGAGCCAGAGCCAATCAAATATGATTATTTTAATCAATAAATGAATTCTCTAGTAACATGTTGGAGCTTTTCTGTCACTGAGCAAACAATTAATTCCTGTGTTCTTCCATCAGTTACATAGTCATCTCTCAAAATTGTATTTCTGAGAGCATTTATAGTTTTGAAAAAGTTTTCATCATTGTTGGATACTGTAGGTTTCTATCGAGTGTCAGTCAGCAAGGTAGCAGGTGGGGCACTGGAGCATACATAATTGTAAAACCCAAATCTCCCTTTTAAAGACTCAGAAGATGGAAGAAAATGCAATGAAAATAAAAAATAAATAAAAAATAGATGTATTTTCACTGTATTTCATTAATGAGGCCTTTTCCTAAATATGTTTCTGGTATCAAAAATATAACCTAATATAATAAAATATGCAGTACTAAAGCCTTATTACATTTTTCTTAAATATAATTGTGTATCTGATTAATACTCTATTGCTTAAAAATGCATAATGGAGGAAATTAGAATTCTACAGTGTGAATTCCAGGGAACTTTCTTGATACTGTAGATATAAACTTTCTGTTCCTCACTGAAGACTGATCAGAATTTCCATGGAAAGTAGCCCTTCAAGACTGTATTTGGCCGGACATCATGAATAAAAGCAGAACATGGAAAACAACTTGTGAAACAATGCAATTAGGAAATAATCATTTTTAAACACAAGTGAACTCAATTATCTTCTATGAAAAGTCAACAGTGACCATTGGTTAACATAAATATCTAGAGTTGTGTCGTATTTCTAGCTGGTGCAATATTGGTTCAAACTTAATACAGTTAAGAAATATTGTAAGATAGCCACATCTTACATTATTAACATAAGACGTAATGATAACATTATCAACACAACAGAACACATATTACTTTTTCTAAAAAAAAAAGCTATTTTAAATGCTTTCTCAATCCTAATAGTAATTCTATTGGTATGTCCATCGTCCAAATATGTATGTTTTCTGTATGTAATGTTTTAAAAAATCTAACATTGATTTTGAATGAATAGTTTGCAACCTCATTTTAGTTTTTCATTCGCACATTACATTGTTCGAGATGCATGGTTTCATTCAGAAAAAAATATTTCTGCTTTCCTTGATTAATTAGATGTAGAATGAAACAATTTCTCTTGTGGTACATGCTTGTACTAAGGTTCACTGAGGAGTACTGTACACTGCTGGCTTTA